TCTTCCTTTTTATCGCTCACATTCACCCTATAGAATATATATCCCATACTATATATCCTATAGCATGCATACGACATTCATGTGACATTCACATTTCTCATCATTCAAATTCACCCTATAGAATATATATCTCATACTATATATCCTATAGCATGCATACGACATTCATTTGAGTCATATTTCCATTGGTACTCCTCCAATAATATTCATTTCTTTTGAGTCATTTTTCCATTGGTACTCCCCCAATAATATTACTTTCGTATGAGTCTTATTTCCTTTGGTACTCCCCCAAATAGATTGAATTCGTTTTGAGTCTTATTTCCTTTGGTACTCCTCCAAATAGATTGAATTCGTTTCGAGTCTTATTTCCTTTAGTACTCCCCCAAATAGATTGAATTTGTTTCGAGTCTTATTTCCTTTGGTACTCCCCCAAATAGATTGAATTCGTTTCGAGTCTTATTTCCTTTGGTACTCCCCCAAATAGATTGATTTCGTTTCGAGTCTTATTTCCTTTGGTACTCCCCCAAATAGATTGAATTCGTTTCGAGTCTTATTTCCTTTGGTACTCCCCCAAATAGATTGAATTCGTTTCGAGTCTTATTTCCATTGGGACTCCCCCAAATTAGATTGAAATCATTTTGAGTCTTATTTCCATTGGGACTCCCCCAAATTAGATTGAAATCATTTTGAGTCTTATTTCCATTGGGACTCCCCCAAATTAGATTGAAATCATTTTGAGTCTTATTTCCATTGGGACTCCCCCAAATTAGATTGAAATCATGTTGAGTCTTATTTCCATTGGTTCTCCCCCAATAATGTTACTTTTATTACCATAACAGAAAAGTCACGCATTTTCCAACATAATGCATAAATTACAAACGTATCATTTTAAACCATTACCTCTTTCACATACCTCATTCATATCAGCAAGTATGATTTAGAGACACTTATCCCTTACCTTGGTGAGTGTTGGGGATCGGTTCCGAGTAACTTTAAAAGTCTCCTCCGCGATTTCCTCCAACCTTAGGATCTTTCCTCATTTCCACCAATAACAACAATGTCAATCATTTATTCAAAATACCATATAAATAACTCGTATTTCCTCATCAAACATACAAGATATTTACATATTTTCAAGGTTTCCAAAACTACTTCAATACGAGTTTCCAAACATCTAAAACATACATATTCATCTATTTCTCTCTTTATTCATATTCTCATTTTGGGGTTTTCATAAACAACCCACAAAACCTTTCCATTCATCAAATACCAACTATAAACCAAGAGTTTACAAGAGAAAAACAACCTAAAACGAACCATAACTCTAACGGATGAGTTTCCATGGTTTCTCATATTTTGAAAATAGATCTAACATACCCAAAACAAGTTAGAGAGGAAGAAGAAGAGTTAGAAACAAGAGGTTTACCTCTTCGCAAGCTCTAAGATGAGTCCTAAGGCTCCTTGCTCTTGAAAAGCTCCCTTCTCTCTCTTCTCTTCTTCTAACCCTAAAATGTGTTTGGGGTTTCTATTTTTAAAGAGCAGTCGTCGGGTTCTCGCTCAAGCGAGCCCATTCTTGCTCAAGCGAGAATCTCATAGTGAGCAATTTTCGCTTAGCGCATAGATGTAATCGATTACATGGATTGTGTAATCGATTACATCGTGTAAAATGCACATATCTGATGCTTTTATCTGCATGTAATCGATTACATGTATTGTGAAATCGATTACATCATGTAAAATGCACATATCTGATGCTTTTATCTGCATGTAATCGATTACATCATGTATTGTGTAATCGATTACATCATGTAAAATGCACATATCTGATGCTTTTATCTGCATGTAATCGATTACATGGACTCTGTAATCGATTACACTGCCCAAAATTGCCATCTCTCGCCCGGGTGATACAACTCTCGCTTAGGCAAGAATCCTCCAGTATAACCCAAGATTTCACCCTCCCAGATGCACCTCTCTCGCTCAAGCGAGAATCTCTCGATCAAGCGTGGCTTCCAGGACTGATACTCTAATTTTTAAAGACTAAAATTCGGGGTGTTACACATTTTAGGGTTAGAAATTGAGAGAGAAGAGAGGAGAAGGTGATTTTGAGAGCAAGAACTCGTGGAAATCATCTAGAAGCTTGAGAAGAGGTAAATCTCTTGACTCTAACTCTCTTTCTCCCTTTCAAACTCGTTTTTGGGTATATGGATCTCTTCTCAACGTATGAGAAACCATGGAAACTCTTCATTTAGAGTTATGGTTCGTTTTATGTTGTTTTTCCTTGTAAACTCTTGGTTTAGAGTTAGTATTTGATGAATGGAAAGGTTTTGTGGGTTATTAATGAAAACCCCAAACACCCCCAAAATGAGAATATGAGTAAAAAGGGAAATGCTGAAATTTTAAATGTGGAAGATGAATATGTATGTTTAGATGTTTGAAAACTCGTATTGAAGTAGTTTTGGAAACCTTGAAAATATGTGAATCTCTTGTATGTTTGATGATGAAATACGAATCATTTATGTGTTATTTGGAATAAATGACTGACATTGTTGTTATTGGTGGGAATGAGGAAAGATCCTAAGGTTGGAGGAAATCGCGGAGGAGACTTTTAAAGTTACTCGGAACCGACCCCAACGCTCACCAAGGTAAGGGATAAGTGTCTCTAACTCATATGAGCTGATGTGAATGAGGTATGTGAAAGAGGTAATATGTTTGTAAGAATACTATTGCTACCCTACCCGAAGTGGTGGTGGATTATCATTGTCACCCTACCCGAAGTGGTAGTGGTCTATTCTTGTTATCCTACCCGAAGTGGTAGTAGATTATTATTATTATCCTACCCGAAGTGGTAGTAGATTATTGTTGTTGTCATACCCGGAGTAGTAGTGGATTAAGTTGGTTGTCCTACCCGGAGTGGTAGTGGGAACGAACTAGACCTGCCCGATGTGGTATGGATAATTAACTCGACCTTCCCGATGTGGTATGGGGAATGAACTAGACCTGCCCGATTGGTATGGATAATTAACTCGACCTGCCCGATGTGGTATGTGGAATGAACTAGACCTGCCCGATGTGGTATGGATAATTAACCTGACCTTCCCGATGTGGTATGGGGAATGAACTAGACCTGCCCGATGTTGTATGGATAACTAACTCGACCTGCCCGATGTGGTATGGGGAATGAACTAGACCAGCCTGATGTGGTATGGATAATTAACTAGACCTGCCTGATGTGGTATGAGGAATGAAATAGACTTGCCCGATGTGGTATGGGGAATGAACTAGACCTGCCTGATGTGGTATGGATGATTAACTCGACCTGCCCGATGTGGTATGGAGAATAAACTAGACCTGCCCGATGTGGTATGGAGAATTAACTAGACCTACCCGATGTGGTAGATGATTATCTTTGTGAAAGAACTCGGTGAATATGATTAAAGGTGAATACGATTAATGAGAAATGAGGAGATTTAGAATGAAAGTAATATGCATGCTATAGAATATATATTATGGGATATATATACTATAAAGTGAATATGGATGATGAGAAATGAGGATTTTTCGAATGAAAGTAATATGAATTCTATAGAATATATATTATGGGATATATATACTATAGGGTGGATATGAATGATGAGAAATGAGGAGGTTTAGAATGAAAGTAATATGCATGCTATAGAATATATATTATGGGATATATATACTATAGGGTGAATATGAAAGATGAGAAATGCGGATTTTTGGAATGAAAGTAATATGCATGCTATAGAATATATATTATGGGATATATATAAGACTGATGAGAAATGAGGAGGTTTAGAATGAAAGTAATATGCATGCTATAGAATATATATTATGGGATATATATACTATAGGGTGAATATGAAAGATGAGAAATGAGGATTTTTGGAATGAAAGTAATATGCATGCTATAGAATATATATTATGGGATATATATACTATAGGGTGAATATGAATGATGAGAAATGAAAGAAAGAAGATATGAATGTCTACATTTACGTGCTGGTGGTTATAATTTATCTCAATGCTTAATCGTATTTGAAATGTGGATTATCATGTAATGTTAGTCTTGAACTAATGACTTACTCCCTTGTTTTGTGTGTTGTTTATGATAAATCCCATTGTAGGTAAATGAATGATTTGAGGAGGAAGCTCACTTAGGAATCTTATGTGTTTATTAACTTGGATTTCCTTATCTTTACTTTGGCATTGTAGTTGACTAGATAATATTTTGGGATGAATGTAATTCTAATTATGGTAACACTGGAGATGTGTAGTTATGGTTATTATGATTCTTAGGAACCCATAATCAGTGTATGCGGCAGTTACTAAGGGTTAATTGAATGAATTATGTTTTTCTGCAATATGAATCGTATGATAATGTAATAGGCTAAAAGGGTGGTTTCACGGAATGATTAATGAGGGATTTAAGTAAGATGATGAATGTATGCATGAAAAGATTATAATAAATGAAAAAAAATTCAAGGGTAGAATTTGGGTCCTTACAGTGCACAATGTTATATAAATAAACATGAAATTGTTTATATATAATAACAATAAATATAAAAAGTATGGGTTATGGTATAGTAATAATGAACATAAAAAATTGTTTATATATATATATATATATCAAGTCAACTCATTAACCTAACGAGTCGAGCTGTATCCAACTCTAGTTCGGCTTGTTTAGTTAACGAGCTCAATTTCCAGCTCATGAATCAAGTTTGTCAAACTAAATAATGAGTCGAGTTTCCAATGAATACCAAATTGATTCGGTTCTCTATGAACCCTACGAAAGACTCCCACAAGAAGTTTGCCAAAACAAGTAATTCTTGTGACAAAATAAGTTAGTATTGCTAAGCATACTGTTACCGGAGTTACATTGTCAAGAATTTAAATGGATAAAAATATAAAATATTTTGATAATGGTGAAAGAAAGTAAGAACACGATGATGGGACTAAAAAATTAATTCTAAAAATATCGACAACAAGGTTTGATCCTATGTCAGTAAAGACCAATAGATTTCAAGTCCGTCTCCTTAACAACTCAGACATATCAACAATATTGTACATGTTTCCTTCTAGTATATATCTATTACATGATAATCGATTTTTTTTGTTTGGTATCCACTATTTTTAAGAACAAGTACTGTTATTGTTCTGGAAAAAAATAAGAACATTCTTCCTATGTTGTCCATTGTGACATTCTTATTTTATGAAGTTTGTTTTTAAATAATAAAAAATTTTGGTTAGGGAAAGTAAGGAGATATATAGATGTTTGGTTATATTTATTGTAAAATATAAAAGTATGGGGTAGGTTGTGTGTAACACCCTGAATTGGAGTCTTTAAAATTATAGTATCAGTCCTGGGATTCTCGCTTGAGCGAGGGAGTCTCGCCTGGGCGAGAAAGTCTAACCTGGGAGGGTGAAATCTGGGACTATACTAGAGGATTCTCGCCTGAGCGAGAATTGTCTCGCCTGGGCGAGAAATGGCATTTTGGGACTGTTGAGACTGTGAGATTCTCGCTTGAGCGAGAGGGTCAGATCTGAATTTTTAAAATAGGCAGGGTTTTCTCGCTTGAGCGAGAAAGGGCTTGCTTAAGCGAGAACCCGACGAGACAGCATTTAATGAGAAACCCCAAACACAACCTAGGGTTTAGAAAAGAAGAAGGCTGAGAGAAGAGAGCTTTTTCAAGGACCAGAAGCTTGGATACTCATCTAAGAGCTTGAGAAGAGGTAAAACTCTTGATTCTAACTCTCTTCTTCTCCTTAAAACCTATTTTGGGTATGTTGGATCTCTTCTCAAAATGAAAGAAACCATGGAAACTCATCCTTTTGAGTTATGGTTTGTTTTATGTTGTTTCTCTCTTACAACTCTTGGTTAACAGATAGTATTTCAAGAATGGAAGGGGTTATGGGTTGATTCATGAAAACCCCAAAACCCTAAAAAGAAAATGTAGTTAAAAATGGAAAATGGGTAAAATGCTAGAGGTAGAAGATGAGTTTACTTTCTAATGATGAAATATGAGATGAGTATGTATGTTTTGAATGGTTGTAAACTTATGATGAAAGTAGTTTGACAACATTGGAAATATGATGAAATATCTTGTATGGTTAAATAATACAATATAAGTTGTTTATGTGATATCTGGAATAAATGACTAACATTGTGTTATATGGTGGGAATGAGGAAAGATCCTAGAGTTGGCGGTGGTGTCGGTGGAACTTGTGAAGTTGCCAAGAACCAAACCCAACACTCACCAAGGTAAGGATAAGTCTTTAATTTTGCATTTGGAATAGAAAATGTGTGTATTTTCTGGTTATGCAATGATTGAGTTGTGAATTACGCATTTAGTATAAACATATATGGGTGTGTTTATACTAAAGTAGGCGTAGATTTACGGAAGTTGGAAAATGTGTGTATTTTTTGGTCATGCAATAATTATATTGTGAATCACGTATTTAGTATAAACATATATGAGTGTGTTTATACTAAAGATGGCGTGGATTTACGGGAAACGATTGATGGTGAATTCGATGAAAAGAAAATATATTTTTAGCCGACCATGAATGGTTAGCGACTCTGGCTTGATTATATAAGCGAAACTCTGGCTTGAGTATATAAGCGAAACTCTGGCTTGAGTATATAAGCGAAACTCTGGCTTGAGTATATAAGGGAAACTCTGGCTTGAGTATATAAGCGAAACTCTGGCTTGAGTATATAAGCGAAACTCTGGCTTGAGTATATAAGCGAAACTCTGGCTTGAGTATATAAGCGAAACTCTGGCTTGAGTATATAAGCAAAACTCCGGCTCGAGTATATGTAGCATGTTTTCTTCTAAAAGAAATGAGAATCTGGTTTTAGCTAACCCTGAGGGGTGTAGCGACTTTGGCTCAAGTTATGCAGCAAAGTAAAATGAATTTCAAAAATGGTTTACTAACCCTTTTCTAATGTGGATTATCTTATAATGATGTTTATTGAATTAACGACTTACTCATTTGTGTGTTTGTGTACTTGTCATTGATAATCCCATTACAGATAAACAGGTGACATGAGGGGGAATCATTTTTGGGGGAGCTTAGGGAGCTTTATATTTTGGAATTTTTTATTTGCACTATTTTGTACATGAGTGCATAATGGATAGTTTGAAATATTGTGTAACTACGGATAAATATATATATATTAGCTAACATGAGGGTGTAATTGGGAAGATGATCTGGCTCCTTGACCGAGGCTGGGTTTTGATGAAGACAAACGCACGTCACCAAAAGAAAGAAGAAAAGCTATTGAAGATCAAAGACTTAAAGAAGTTGAAGTATATTTTATTTTTATAAGAGTCTTAGTCTTTTAGTAGCATATATTTCAAACTCATAAGAAATCACAATGCCTTAAGAATAAAGGTCTTAATCTAGGTTAATATAAGAGTTCCTAAGAAAAACCAAGTTATTTTTGAAAAGTTGGGAAAAAGCAAAAATAACTAGGATAATCGATTACCCTGTAGTATTAATCGATTACCACTTACTGTTGAAAGTTAAAATCCAAAATTTAATTGCAGTAATCGATTACCAGGGTAAGTAATCGATTACCATAACTCTCGGCATTTTTGGGAAATGAAATTTCAACTAGGGTAATCAATTACCCTATGGAAGTAATCGATTACCACTAGCCGTTAAGCAACTTTGGATTTGAAATTTAAACTGAGGTAATCGATTACCTCATATTGGTAATCGATTACCACAAGCAAAAAATCATCAGTATTAGTTGGTTTTCAACTGGTAATCGATTACCACGTAATGTTACTGCGAAAATCTGATTTTTAAATTGAACCATTGTGTTCCAACTTGGTTCAAATTTTCCCAAACGACTTATAACTTTTGAAAGTGATTCTAAACACCTTTTGGAACTCTATATAAACCTTGTAGGATCTCAGAATTACAAAAATAACTTTTATACTCAAAAATCCAAGTTCTTGAAACAAATTTCTGAGTTTTTATTCAAGAACACTTTGAAGTTTTTCAGAAAAACTTTCATATTCTTTGGAATTCTGAAAACTTCATAAGGAATTAAGATACATTGTGAGTTTGTCATTAAGCCATATATTATCTTCATACTTGTACTCAAGTAATCACCATAGGGTTTGGTGAGGCATTGTAAAACAAGGATAGTGGTGTACTATCTTGTTGAAGTGAGTGAGTGATACAACTTAGGGGGAGTCTAGGTGTGACTTTGCTTGTAAGTTAAAATCATTCAATAGTGGAAATCTCTTGTGGTTTTCAAGAGGACTGGACGTAGCCTTCGGTGGTAGAAGGTGAACCAATATAATTTTCTAGTGCGATTTTTCTCATCCTTACCCTTTTTGTTTTATGCACTTCTTCTTCTACTAAACTTTCTTCCGCTACAACTCTGTTAATTTGTTCTTAAGTAGAACAAGCTGAAAAGGTCCTAGTGATTTTTTTTAAAACAACTAATTCACCCCCCCCCCCCCTCTTAGTTGGCCATCTATTCCTCCCAGTAACTCTGGATATGTGTAGCTATGGGTATTTTGGAAACCCATAGCTAGTTGTATGCGGTAGTTACTAATCTGCATTAATACGAATTATGTTTTTTTTTCTGTCGAATGATTATGTATGTCATTATTGATTCATGGAATGAGTGTGAGGAGGGAAGTAAGATTTTGAAGTAAGGATATTAAAGTGGTAATGTGAGTTATGAGTGATTGCATGGAATTAAATTAAAATAAGAAGAAAAAAATTTCAAGGGTAGAATTTGGGTCCTTATAATATGCTATCAGAGCATAGTTAGTCTTGCGGCCTAGGGTATGGCCTTACTTACTTCTTTGTAACTTCTAATTGATTGAACTATATGATTTAAGTGAATTGTTGTATGGTTATGTGTCGATTTGTCTGGTTAAACATGGTGTACTGACAAATTAAAGAGATAAACAAGTACTCATTACGGAGATATCTGGAAGAGGAAGAGGAAGAGGAAGAGGATCAGGTTAGAATGAATTGTTAGCCCAGATTGCGGTCGTGCTGACAAACATGAATGAGAATTTGCAGCATCTAAATCAGAATGCTACACCAAGTCCGAGTTCCCAACCACTAGTTCCGCCTGGACCGGCCGAGTACCGGGGTTTGGATGAATTCTGCAGGAGGAACCCTAGTCAGTTCCAAGGTGGATTCGCTCCTGATGCTGCCATTGAATGGGTTCAAGGGTTAGAGAGGATCTTCAGAGCCATGAATTGTCCTGATGCTCAGAAGGTGGCATACGCCACTTACATGCTAGTGAAGGAGGCCGAAAACTGGTGGGAGATGACCCGGAGGCAGACGGAGACCGAAGGGCAAATCATCACATGGGGAATCTTCAAGGGAAAATTCGTCCAGAAATATTTCCCTGCAGACCTGAAAAGGAAGAAGGAGATGGAATTCTTGCAATTAGAGCAAGGAAACATGACGGTGAGGGAGTATTCGGCCAAATATGAAGAATTCATCCGATACTGCCCTTATGTTGAACTAGAGTTGGACGGGAGGTCCAAATGTGTGAAGTTTAAGATGGGGTTGAGGCCCGAGCTCAGGGTGACATTTGGTCACGAAGAAATTTCTGATTTCCCTACACTAGTGAACAAGTGTAGGATGTATGAGGATAATGTGCGGATGAGGGACGCTGCTGCTAGAAAAGAGAACCCTCCACAACATTATGGCCCTCAACGAAACTTCTCACACGGAAAAGGGAAGGGCAAGGTATTTCAAGAGGAACGGAAGCCTTACTCTCCTCCAACGAGTAGTCGGGGTCATACTTCGCATGGGCCGAAGACTCAAACTAAGGTTGGAGGGTCACGGTTGAACTCTCCATCTTTGTGCGACAAATATGGCCGAACTCATATCGGTGACTTATGCCCTGGGACGACGCTTACCTGTTTTAACTGCAAGGAAGTTGGGCATATCAGAAGGTATTGTCCTAAGTTGTAGCAGAGTGTGAATGCTGTGAGTGCGGGACGACCTCGAACTACTGGCAGAGTATTCACTATGAGTGGTGCAGAGGCGTCGGGTGTAGATGGCCT